GCCCAATCTGCTGCGCTGCTTTCTGCTCCCCGCTCTATTTGTCACTGGGCTGCCTGTTTAACTTGTGGCACACGTGCTACAGGTTGGCCACTCCTGGCTTAGAGATGGCAGATTACAAAAATAGGCAAATCCGCTTTTAGGGCTTTAAGTGGAGTGAAATAGGATTATATCTTGAGGTGCCCAAGAGGTGTAATAGGATCTGTTCCCTAGTTCATGCCTGTATCTTAATAAAACTAACTGATGGGTCATAATTTTATAGAAGTTGGGTGAAGTGGATTTTCCAAAACTATAGAATCCCAGTTTGAAAAGCACTGAATGAATTCCCAGAAAATCATGAGTTTGGCTTAACTTAGTTTAAAATATTAAATGTGGGGTTCTCTGCCAAAATGTTACTTTAAAACAACACCTTTTGAGGACTGATTAGTAATTGTGTCCAGTGCTCAACTACATCTAGAGTGCTTTTGTTAAAAATATGTTTTGTCGGCTTCCAAGAGGGTGTCTCTTTTAGATAGAGACTCCTGTATCAAGTGACTTTAGAAGCAAAGGCATTAAGAAACGTATCTAATACAGTGGTCTTCACAGTAAAAGCATGATAACTAGCAACACTGTACATTTCAACGTAACACTATACATCTAAAGTATTGACAGCACTTTTGAATTCTGGTAGATAAACTTGGGTGTCTAAATTAAAGTAGCTGGTTTTATTCAGAGGTCCTCAGCAGGTGCCTTCTGGTTGCCTAACTAGTTGCCAAAATGTAAAAATCTTGTCTAGACTCTACAGTGTTAATGAAAGAGTTGGAATCCTGTTCAAACCCCATGATTATCTTCATGGTTTTATATGAAGGAAAACTTGAACTCTAGAGATCTTGGGTATTTTTTTTGTAAAACTGTATTTGGTAAACATGTACTATTCAAAACAATAGCTGATAGAGTTGTAATTTTTTTTAATAGGGATGTAGTGCTCACAAGCCATTGTGATTATAAAGACTACAGAGATACTATACTAAGCAGGCCGCTGGTATTCTTCACAAATGTGAAAATAAAACCAGATTTCCCAAACGGTAAGTATGTTGTTCTTTTTGTTATTTACATTACATTTCCTCAAATAAAAATGAGGGCTAGATGGATCCTTATGCAATTTGGTGCATTGGGTTCATCATTTGGGACCCACTGATTACTTTGTTCTGTTTTCAGTTCCTTATAATTTTTCCTAAACTTCACCTTTTGAGCTCAGTGTCTTACACCAGCAGTTTTCAACCTTTTAGCGTCACAAGCTAAATAAGCAACGTGGGGCTGGTCCATGGCTGGATTTCACATGGGGTTGGCCCCATGCTGCCTGGGGAGGTCTCTATGCCACCCTGGTCCTGTACACATAGAGCTCTGTGCTGCCCTGGCCCAAGGTAGCATGCAGGGCCATGCTCTCTGCCCGCAGGGCTCTCCACAGGTCTTGACATTTTATGGGTAGGGAGGGGCATTGAATGCTGCCACTGTCACCATACCACAAGATTTTTCAGACCTGGAGGGAGCTGTGTGGGCTGGATAATACAGCTTCACAGGAGAGATCTGGCGCATAGGCCAAGGGTGAACACCCTTGTTCTGCATACTTTTATTCCTCCTGTTAATATGTTTCTTTTTCTCCCTTTTTTAAAACTTAAACAAAAGTGGTTCAGCACTTTGAGCTGAAGATGTGTGAAAAGTACACTTGTGATTTCCTTTTGATTTGATTTCCAACTCGCTGGAAGTTGAAATTTCGTGTGAAAAAAAATCCTCAATGGGGAGCAGTGACTTTCAGTGCTTGGGTGACAATTGATTTTTATTTAATTTGATTTGAAAATCAGGTACTACAAATGTTTAGTATATTTTCCATGAGTTATAATACTAGCTTGTAAATTGTGTAGATAGGAAGCTTATGATATATACGGTCAGTTAGCTGTACAATGAAAAGTATACTGAAGGTGTATAGGGACTGAAGTAAGGCATCTCTAGGGGTCTCTGTAATAGATCCTGTTGTCTTACAAAACTAGCATTCCCAGGGTTTGCAGTGTCTACAGTTGAGGAAGTCTCTATTATACTTATTAGCATGCAGAAGAGCAGTGCCTCCACGCTAATTCCTAGGAGGCTGCATCCATGGAGTATTTACACACAGAGTAACTCTTATTGTCAACACTATTGCAGTTTCACCCTGTTGAAACCTTTTAATCCTCAGCAAATATATATTTTTTTTCTGATCCTGTTCCAGTTTTCAGATTCATGGCCAAACTTTCAGTTACCTCAGTGAAATAACCTGGGGCAGTGCTTGTGTCCTTAATTCAGCTTCTGAGGCCCTCTCCTGCAAGTCTCCTAAAATGATGGACAAAGCACTTAATTGGTTTCATTATTCTGTATTGTACAATTTAAAACTCTGTTGTCAGGAAAGTCTGTAGATGAATCTGAGGATGTTGCAGTACAAAAAGCCAAGCAGTGGGCTTGTCTACACATGCAGTTAATGCACAGAAAGCTTACTGCACAGTAAAATACTGTGCAGTAAACTTTCCCTGAGAGCACTTCTACATGTGCACCTGTTGGGAGCAAATTTGCTCCCAGCAGGAACAGTTCAGGGCAGGGATACTCCCGCTGTGCTCTCCTACTATATGGTAGCCAGGGGTAGCTCTAGGCTCCCCAGGGTGTCAGCCCCGGGTTGACAGGTGGTATCCGGGTCAGGCCTGGGTTCTGGGGGACAGGGAGATCTTTCCTACTTCCGGGGCAGCTGCCTACCACCCCACACCCCTGCCCTGGGTAGCTGCCTGCTGCTGGAGCCAGCTCTGATTGCTAAACCCAGATGGGGACAATGTCCCTTTGCCCCTGCAGCAGGCAGCTCCTGGCCCTGCCTCCAAGATCGGTCTATGATTGGAGCCAGCGCCAGCAGCAGGCAGTTGCCTGGGGCAGGGGACAGCTGGGAAGTAGGCAGCTGCCCTGGGGAGTGGAAAATTCTCCTACTTCCTGTGTTATGTAACCATGCACTTCTGTGCAATAAATCTACTATCCATATTTACAGGTACTAGAAAACCACGCAGTAAACACATCTACTTCACGGTAGCTCCTGTGCGCGGTTACATAGTGACACTTTACTGAGCAGTAGATTAGTCTACTGTGCAGTAAAGTATATTGTGGAGATGCACCCAGTTAATAGGACTTCAAAAGTGGAGAAGGTGAAATGGGATTTGGGAAAAGCCTAGATGAAGGACAGATGGAAAGGAGTAAAAGATGTACAGATTTCCCTTGATTTATGCGGGTTCTTTATATGTGAAGTTTGCTGTTATGTAGTGAACATATTTAGACCCATAATTTATTATATGTGAGGTAAGTTCGCTCTTATGCCATGAGCATAGATGCCCCCCTTACCCAAGCAGGTAAGTGTGTAGAGAAGGGAAAGGGCCATGGCTCCACTCACTCCAGCCCCAGAAGCGGCTGGAGCCAGCTGCCTGCAGCAGCTGGGCTGCACCGTGCTCTGCCTGTTGCACTGCTCCTGGGCCGTGCTGAGCCGTGGTGTCAGCTGCTCCCAGGGCTGCTCCAGCTTGAGCTGGGGTGAATGCAGACAAGTGGAGCCCTGGGTGGTGTGGGGCACAGTGCTCACCCAAGCCCCGGCTGCAGCAGCCCCAGGAGCAGCTGACACCAGCTGCCTGCACCAGGGCATAGTGCAGCCCGGGAGCAGAGGTGAGTGGGGACAGGTGGAGCACAGTGCTGCCCAGCAGGCAGCTGGTGCCAACAGCTCCTGGGGCCACTGCAGCCAGGGCTGGGAGGAGTGCCACTTTCTTTCCTCTGCTTTGCTGCCCCCAGTGCTGCATGAGGCAGCACCCCTCCCCTTGCCCCTTCCCTAGTCCCAGCTTCACTCCCTCCCTCACCACCATGGGAACCTATCCACAGTTGTAACATTGTAAGTAGATTCGCTTTATGCAAATTTGATTTATGCGCTCTTCTCTGGGAATGCATGTACAGTATAAATCAAGGGAAACCTGTAAACCCAAGGTTGCTGAGGAGAAACTGTCAACAGAGAGATTTTATAGAGTGACATGAGAAGATACTGTCTCTTTCACCCCAGCTCTACTTCTAGTAGGAAGTCATGGATACCTGTATATAGTTGGAGATCCATTACTCTATAAGCCATCCTTCCCCAGAAAATCTACAGAATATTCAATAGGACTGAAGTGCCAACAGTTTCAGTTTTAATACTTGGATGAACTGTTGTTACATGGGTGTAGTTCACGGGCCACATCTACATGAGTGGCAGACTGCATAATTGTTACTGCATAGTCATTTAGTTCTTGCTTATGCAAGTACTAAATGACTGCACAGTAACCGATGTGACTGCACAGTACCATCGCCACATGGTTTTTTTTTTCCTGATACTACTGTTCACTAGCAACAAACTACTGCCTAAGTAGCTCACTACTTCTGTGCAGTATCATTGCCACACAGTTAGTGCCCAGCAGTACAGCTGCACGGTACCAACAAGCCATGATGCAGTAGCTCCTTGCTGTTGTGCCATAGCATCTTGTGTAGACGCACGCACTGAGTAGTACAAAACCAGTACTGCTTTCATACATATATTTTTCTCTTTTTTAAGAGAGATCAGAGATGCAACTATTGGCACCAAAATGACAGACTTCCACAAAAAGCTAAAAAAATTCTTGGTTAGGCCCATGTAGCTCTTTAGGCTTTTCAGGTTACTAAGGCTTGCTACTAGGAGGAGCTGTTATCATGCCATCTGTCTTGTAGTTTTTATATGTATTAAGAGGTATATGGGACTTCCTCAACATGGATTATTAGAACTACAGCTGGCTTTTTATGAAAATACAACTCATAGTATAAAGGTTTTAGTGTATGTTGATGAATGTTGCTGATGTCATATTAAGAAATTAGTAGCATTTTAACTTGCTTTCAGAAAAAACATATGCCTTTCTTGTGAACACTCGACATCCCAAAATAAGAAGACAGATAGAGCATGGTATGGACAACATAATATCCTCAGTGTTTGGAGAAAGTTATAAACTTCGGGTAAGTCATGAATGCATTGTTATAAGATAGTCAAGGCTATCAGTTCTGAATAATAGCATTCCATCTTTATTTTGTGAGAGCTACAAAAAGAAGTGCTTTTTAAGATTTGCAAATGAGCCATGTTTGTTATCACCAGAGACTTTTTTTTCCCAAATAAAATAACCAAGAACAAATAGCTTTGATTCACAGTTGGATATGGTTTATTCACTTCAAATATAAACAACACAACATCAATTTAAGAAAATGACATTAATTCAAAGTTTAAAGCACCTCCTTAGCAGTGAACTGATGCTGTTTTGCTTCCAAGACTACAGTTCAGTCCTATACCAAAATTTAGTAAGTAAAGAGCAAAATTCTGCCCTTGTTCAAGCTTAATCCATTTAAGCTTACTCAAGTTTAAATATAAAGCATTCCTCTGAACAGATGTCATAAAGCATATATTTCATTCTGTGAGAATACTCAAAGGGTAACAAACTTGAGTACTGAGAATGAAGCAAATCTATAAAACAGAGTGAATCATTACAATATTTTGTAATGTTTTGCATACAAGAAAAATGATAAACATTTGCTAGCTTGTTGTCGTCTTTAATTTTAAATATTAGCCAGCCTACGAAAAAGGGGGTTTTAAATGAGGATTTAATTTAAATGAGTCTGCAGTCTTCATAAGTGGGAGCATATCTGTTGCACGAACAAGAACTGATCCTTAAACTTAATTCATACTTCAGATTCTGCAGTTCCCAGAAGGAAGATGATAATAAAATAATATACCCTGTAATCATAGAAGTTCAACGTACGGTAGCCTCTCTTCTTGGTGTTAAGACAGAACTCCTGTGTCCACTTAGACTCCGTCCACATGAGCACATTTGTTTGTTTTCCTGGAGAGAAGAAGCTGCGGCACACATTGTGTCACTGCTTCTTGTCCCTGGGAAACACCCATGCCATGTGCCCTTTGGTGTGCAGCAGGTTACCCCAGGTTACCCTGCCACAGATGGGTCTGTGGTGCCACATACCACATGACCGTCTAGATGCAGCCCTAGATCTTCTTTGCAAGCCTCACTAGACAGGTGCATTGCTTCAGTTTCTGCTGCTTTGAGATGAGCTCTCTTCTGCCACAAGGTTTGAAATATAAGCAAGTTGTATGGTATTGGGGAAGTGGAATTATACATGGAATCTCTGTGCAGTTTCAGATTCAAATCCTGCTGTGGGTACCTTTTTATTTGAAAACTTTACAACTACAGTATAAACTCTAAATTTGTGAGGGCAAAGTTTGAATTAGACATTTAACTATATATTTTTTTTTTAGTTTGATTTCCAGGAGGTTGTCAAGAGCTTTTTTCCTCCAGGAAGCCACTTGGTTAATGGAGATGCCTTGAGCTTTTCTTTTGAGTTCAAATCGGATGCCCTGTTTGATTTCTTTTATTGGTTTGGAATCAGCAAAAGCACAGTTGCAGTGAATGGGAAAGTTCTGAATTTGTCCAGCACCAACCCAGAAAAGAAGGAAATAATCACAATGTTTCTTGAAAAAATGAGTGAGCCACATGCCCGCTTGAGCAACAGCTTTTCAGACAGAAAATTTAGTGTTACCTCAAGAGGTATGTTACAAAACAACACAGCACCTGGTTTTATATAGTAGAAGTAAACCTTGTTATCTGAACTCTGATTTCCTAAAGTTATGATTATACAACTTTCAGAAAATTGGGATTTCTGAAATTCTTTTAATGAGAAATTCTGATATCTTAAGTCATTCAATACCTTCAGTTAAAACCTAAGCAATGCAGTCCATGTCAAATGAATTAAAATTAACACATCTTTGTGATTTGCAGAGGATGATTTTGTTACAGTATACAATACCCTGGCTTTAAGAAGCTCAAATTCTGCATAAAATTTACTCTAACACTTGTTCTTTTTTATTCTCTGCCCTTTATTGTTAAATTTGTGTTTTGCATTGCAACCAAAGTGAGACTAGAAGTTCTTTAGAGGCAGAGATAATCATGTTAGGATTTATTTGACTGTAAAGTAATTCACACATAATTAGTTATATTAATAACCATGCCACATCACCAATTCCATTTAGCTTCTAAAAGATATTTCCCTTTTTAAAAAGGCAACTTGTCAATTTGTTAACATCATGAAATACTAGATTTTTTTTTTTTTTTGTATCTCCTTTCTCATATTTGAGTTACCCGAGTACTCAAATTCATTGCTCTTCAGTCTTTTAACTTAGCTGCTTCTTGCTCATGGTTTGGTAATGTACATTACTGTTCTGTTCAGTTCCTTGCAAGTCTGTTGTAATCCTGCCCTTTTAAATGTTTTTCAGGTTCAATAGATGACGTTTTTAACTGCAATCTGACACCGCAACAGTCTTTAACAGAGCCCCTTATGACTGTCTGGTCAACAGCATCAGGTCAAGAAATAGAAGAAAGATCAGCAAAAATAGTGAGATTTGTATAAACATCAAAACCTTTTCAGCTGAAAAATCACATGCACAGCAGTGCATTGATGGGAGAAGAACTTCCTGAGATGAGAGGAATGGTGGAAGGGGAAGATTTTTCTTTTCTATTTTTTCCTATCTTAGATGTGAAAAATAGGGACTATATTCAGTTCTTTATTCTTTCTTCCCACCGTCCTCCTCTGAAGTTGTTTTTCTTTTTTTTGAGGTGGACATCTCAATAGGAAGGAGAGTTATCAGTGAGGTAGCATATGGCTTCTCTTTTCCTCGTCCCACAGTGTTGGGTCCGTTTCCTGAACACTACAGACCATTCCTTTTTGAACACAGAATTCTCTTGTGACAGTTGCTCCACTTGCTTTTCTTAATCCCAGATGGAGAGATGATCAGCGCAGATCTCATGAGGATTTAGCAGCATAAAACTGGGTTTCAAATTTTGGGGCAGGGAATTGTCATTTCTAGAGTATTCCAACAAATAGACCCAAGTTAGGCCCTATCTTCGCTCGCTGTGGATCTGTTTCAGCAATTTTTGCTGCAGCTTTTGAACTATCTTACAGCAAATTGTGAACTATGAGCAAACTATATAAAGCACACATTTTAAAATAATTTAAAACCTATTAATTGGATCCCTTTCCACAGAAGCTAGACTAAGTTATAAATTAGTTGTGATCTTTTTTTTGATCTATGCTTGAGTATGGTGGGGGGGTTTCTTGCATAAAACAGCATGTTTATGCCAGTGGGAAACGGGACTACGAAGACTGCTTACGACCTAGTAGCTGGGAATTGTGTTCACAGTAAACTTTTTTTTTTTTCCCCTTTCACTGCATGCATAGATGAAATGGGGACCCTAAATTGAAGCGGTGGGTTTTAAAAAAACACTGCTTCAGTTTAGGGCTGACTTTAACCCCCTGTGTCATGCACACACCCTGCTGACTTACCTGCCTCTCTGGCAGGGAGGGGAGGGTGAGCTGCCGGTGGGTGGAGCAGTACCTGGGCTGTGGTGGGGGCTAGTGTTTCCCTCTGTAGCAGCAGTAGCCCCCTCCCCAGGTGGCACCTGGCTCAGGCTGTTTCGGGGGACATTGCAGTCGCAGAAGGAAGCACTGGGCCCCCGCGCAGCTCAGGCAAGCAGGTAGGCAGGCTTCAGGGTTGTGGGGGAATCGGGCTCGCCACTTTTCTTGGGCGGAGCCTGCTTTCCTGGGCTGCTGTCAGGCTGCCTGCGTGGGCTTCCTGCAGAGCTGCATGGAGCCTGGTGCTTCGCTTCACAGCTGTAGGGGCAGCACCCCAACTCCATTTAAGGTGCATTACACAGCTGAATTTCCTGCAGCGGCTGGAATTAATGTGCAATATGCCTCTGAGGTATGCAGAAACCAACACCATTAAAGCGGTGCCTGCTTGAAAGTAACATGTCCCTCGTTTTGTCTGCACACGGCCTATGATCCAATTCTTGGTCTTAGGAAGATTCCCACCCTCTCCCCCACTCCCTCCTGGGGGGTGGGGGGGAAATAGGGCCTTGTGGTTGAGACTAGGGACTAAGAATCCTAGCCATTACACGTGCTTCCATAAGATATTGATCCAAGTAATTTCGCCTCCTTATGCCTTCATTTATAAAACTCTAACATTGGAATAATATTAAATCTACCTCCCGGGAGCATTGTGAGGCTTTGTCCATTTATGTTTGTAAAGCACTTTTGGAGTTTCGTAAAAGAGGTGCTAAGTAAATGCAGTGTTACTGTACTTGTACTTTTTTTTAACATGGGTTCATACCAATAACCAGCTTTGAGGTAGTGGCAGTCTTCAACTACAAGTTGTTCCTGTTGATACAGTCAGCTAGTTTGCAATAACTTTGAACTTCATCACTGTTACTTACATCTTTAATAAAACAGTTTGGTTTATTAGCCACTTATTCATTACAGTATTCCATGACCACAATATATTTTAAACAAAACACCAGTCAATATAATTTTTTTCCAAAAGAGGTGTTAATACAAAATGGGACTGCACATTCACTTTAGCTTTAATAGGCTGAGATATTTAGCTGTAATGTTTGTTTGTTTGTTTGTTTGTTTTGAACACTAACTTTTTACTGGTAGTTTTTAAAGTGTTAAATCAGTCATGAGGATCTTCTTCACAGCTTTTAACCCAGCTATTGATGGTAATGCTGTATGAGCCACATATCTTCTTCATTGAATGACTGGTCAGTAAGAACTGGTTGAGTTGCTGAGAGAGAGTACATCTTGCACCTGCAACTAGCAACACTGACATTCTTGATGATTTGGCAGGAAATCTAGAATAATCTATAGACCAAGGGACATATAGAGATTGCAAGTACTGTGGTCATTAAGAATTATAGTAATGATAAAAATAAACTTCATGGCAGAGATCCTAAGGTAACTTTTCAGGAAATATTTTGGGGGAGAACTGTCAATAGCAATCATACATTATGCAAAATGTAGGCTGGATATTTACTTTGAAAAAGTGGGACTTTGAAAACCTTTTGTGCGTTTGTTATGCATTTACATGAAAATAGGAGCTTGCCACAGTTACTTTTTCTTAACTTTTTTTTATACAAATAGTATTTTGAGTACAGCTGACTCTCTTAAAATACCACATTATGTAATAATGCACTGGTGCTGTTGAGGTTCTAAAGTATTTTACTATTTCTGATTTTATGTAAGTATAATATACCCATAAAATAATTTGACATATTCTTATATGTATATGTTGAGGACTGCATATTTTCTGATAATGTCTTAAACTTGCATATTCAGAAAACATAATCTTATATGCTGGGTGTGAAATAACACTTAAAATTCTGAATTTACACTAGTGGAATCTCCCTAGAGAGACTGACCGTCTTGCCTCATAACTGAATTTTAGATGTAGATTCCCAGTGCTACATTTTATAGGACCAAACAAACTGTATGTAAATATTTTGTACTTCTGTTTTAAGGACATTGCACATTAAAACAAAAGTAAACATTTCATATGCAGGCAAATACCGTAACACATCTTGCCTTTTCCATATTTTCATCTTTAAAAAAGCCAACAAACTTAAAAGATTTTCTACTGAAGTTAAAAAGAGTAGGATCATACACATCACAAGTACACCTATAGTAATGTTAAAAAGTAATTGATACAAAGAATTTTTCTGAAAAACTTCAGAGAATAACTAGGTTTTTTTTCTTTCTGTTTGTATAGATATGACACATACCTCTATTGTACATTTGTCTCTTATGAATCATTAAAAGGAAAACTCTTAGAAACTGATATTTGCAACTTTTTATTTGATTTCATATCCAGAAGATAACCACTGTCCAGCATTGCTAAAGCACTTGTGAATGGCAAGGAACAATAATGTTGAGTTCCAATGGATGAGCGGGGAGTAAGGTTGTTCATTGAACTAGAGTCCTTCAGCCAACAGCCAGCCAGCAGCAAGGAGGAGGAACCACCACCATATGCACTTCTGACTCCTAAACTGTGACAGATGGTCTAAAATTAGAAGCAACAAAATGCTAATTGCTTAAAAAAGGACAAAATTACTAATATTTTAAACTGTCCAGAACACTTTTTTAGAAAGGTTTTCGAGTCCGAAAGGATCTTCCTTTTGACACATTAATAAAAAAATCCAGTCATATATCATCCAATTCATTTTTAAAATGCTTGATAAACTCTTAAACAAAATTTTATCCAAAAACCTACACTAAATCTTGTCTATCCTGAGTTGGTCTCACTACAAAATAAAACTTCTGTGTTCACTATACAATGCAAACAGGCCATTTGCATTTTGAGTTGCCCCTTCAAGTGTGTCTTATGAAGTGTTTTGTTTTGTTTTTAACCTCCAGTTCAAGGAGAAAGAAACTGATGCAGAATTTTTGAATATGCTCAAATGAAAAGGAAGACCATGACATTCCGTTCTGATCCATACAATCTATTTGAACTTGTGCTTTTCACAATGCAGCGCATGCTGTACTTGTTATTGAAGAAATGGTGATGAGCAAGAATGTTATTTGAACTATGTGACAAACTGAAGAGTTACCTTCTGTTTTCTCATCTAGTCTCTTGGGGCAATGAAATGTGAAGTAAAATCCTTAACAGAATACCTTTAATGGCCACATCCCCCACACACAGCTGAAGTATTAAAGATTACCAGGTTGATGGTCATTAGTAGAAAATGAGAGGATACAGGACACTTGCTCTATTCCCAGTAGCTGCAGCTACAAGCAGCTGTTATTTCAGTGACCACTATTTTTCTTGTGGTGAAATTGTTTTAATATCAAAAGTCAAATCAGGATGTTATTTAGGTAGTATCAACTTGCACCTTGTACTTTAAAAATGGAGATGAAGAGAAACCATATGCTTATAACATAAGAGCCTGATGCAAAATCTGTTGGAAGTAACCTTTTAAATTTAAAGATGCTGCGTGTCAAAATAAGTATTCAACACATATTTGGACATGAGAACATAACAAAAGAAAAGAGGGTTGATATTTATTTCCATGGATACTGTCATCTCTTTTTTCTTTTAATACCTTCAGGAGGAAAATACACAATATACTGGGAAAACAGCTTGTATTAGCTGTTTAATTTAAAGCACGTTAGCTTCAAATTAATTAGCTCAGGTCCTAATAGCTAGGGACCTACTTAATTTGTAGTTTTGTTGATTTTGTAGAAATTGCAAAATCAACAACAAAAAAATGTAATAAAAATAAAAGGCTGGCCCTCCACTGAGAACCAGCGGTTCTTGCTGCTGCAAGGGGAAGGCACTACCTGGTGGAGCAGCACAAAGGGCAGCAGATATGTCATCTGCTCCCTTTTCCTTCATCCTCCCTGCACTGGGGCCTCTCCACCAATCAATGCTGAGGGGTGGGGCAGCACAAAGGACAGCCATCAGTCACCAAGGGCCTTTCAGCCAATCAGCTCCATGGGGCAGGGCCTCTCCACCAATCAGTGCTGAGGGGCAGGGCTATTACAAAACGCCCATGAAATCATTTGTGCTCACCATGAGCAGGCTCTGAAAAACCCTTTATTTTGCTGCAATTTAAGTAGGGCCCTACTAATAGCAATGCAGCTACCGTAGCACTGAGGGCAAAACTTGTCTGAAAAGCTGACTACGTTCAAGTAGCTAGCAGCACCTTGCTACTGCACTATGCTAGTAGTACTTGAGCTAGCTACATCAGAACTACACTGCAATACTCTATATTAATCACACTCGTAAATGCTACAGCATTTTTGAAATTTTAGGATCTCTAGGAAAATGCAACAGAAAAAACATACCAAAAAGTTCAGAAAAATGAAGCAAAAGAATAAAAAGGAATTTTATTTACACAAGCTTTGGTCAAAAATAAAGATACAATCCTTTCATTTTGGAGGATCTGATTATTTGGAACTCACTATACACAGCGAAGTCCAAAACTGTTCAGATTGTTCTGTAATGAGATAAAGTTTTCTATTTCACACAGATTTGATACATTAGGAATATTGCAGTAAAAGAATCTCTGCTGTTATGAGCACAGTGAAATGGCACCTTTTGAATACTGATCAGCAGAGGTCCATTTGGACAACAGTTTCTACCATCTTTCCCACACTACATTGCCTCAGATAGTGAATATTATCTAATGCTAATATATATTTGCTGTGACTAGTGAA